GACAGGGTCAGAGACCTGAGCGGTGGCATAGTCAAGGCGGTGGGTAGAGGCGAAGTCAGTGACAGCAGCGACAAGAGCGTCCAGACTCGAGACAGGAACAGACGGGTCGATAACGAGGGAGGCAAGGACCCTAGAAACAAGAGGACGAGCTGCACGAAGGTAGTCAGATTGAGGGGGAAGCGCGACAGTGAGCGACGACGGAGGAGGCGAGGGGGGGAGGGGAGGACGAGACGCATGGGAACGAAGCAACATAGGGTGAGAACGCTGAACAGGAGAGACAGGACGAGCACGAGAGGGACAATGAGACCAGACGTGAGACGGAGGCGACTGGTCAGGAGACAGAGAAGGAGACACGAGAGGGGAACGAGGGGGAAGACGAGCCTGAGACGAGTCCGGCGGAGGGAACACATGGTCGTAGATAGGATTAGGAGTAGGCGGCGGGGAAGGCGTAGACGAGCGGTCAGGGGAGGGAAGGCCGAACAGGCGAAGGGAGGACACCGGCGGCGACCGCTGCTGCTGCTACTCGACGCCGAAACCTAGACCGCCAGCTGCACCACGGCTACCTCCGAAACACTCCACTCCAGCACCCCCAGAACGAGCACCCTCAGAGCGAGAACCCTCTCTAGCAACAATGCTACCCCGAGCCTGCCAGGACAATCCACGACAGGAACCTCAGGACTAGCACCCTCCTCAATGCCAGCACCCCCAGAGTCCACGAACGGCTGCTGCTACTGCGACAGCGGCGGCTGCTGCGGCGGTGGCGGCGGTTGCTGCTGCGGCGGCAGCGACGGCTGCGGCGGCAATTGCGACGCAGAGGATGAGATAACTGGGGAAAGGCAGGCGGCGAGAACGGCGTCGCGGGGCCACCAGAGTCAGCCGACTCCTCGACCGGGACAACCGACGGGAGGGGAGTGACGTGAGACACACCTGACGGGGCAGGACGGGAAGGGAGGGGAGCAGGGGCTACCGGGGGAGTGGGAACCAGAAACAAGGGTGGGGCAACTGGGAGACCTCGGAGGGGAAAGGGACGGTAAAAGGAGATAGACTCGTCAAAAGTGACGTCACGTGAGTGAAGGAAGCGGTGAGACAGCGGGTGGTAGTAGTGCCAGTCAGACGATTCCAGGGGGAAACCAAGGAAGACACATGGGACAATGCAGGTAAAGAGCTTGTCCTTGCCAAAGGCACAAGCGTGTGCGAGGCATCCCCAAACGTGAAACACAGACGCGTTACCAGGAGACCAGGTCCAGAGGAGGGTCGGTGAAACCTGCGGCCGCTGGGAGTGAGGCCACAGGTTCAGCAGGTGAGCGGCCTAGTGAACAGTGAACGGCCACAGAAAATGGGGTGCACCGGCATGAATCATGGAGGTATGAGCCACCTCCATGACCAAGCCGATGCATCACTCAGCGACCCCATTCTGCTGTAGGGAGTCCAGCAGGGTGTACGACTAGGTGATGCCCTCCACACGACAGAACCGGCCAAGCCGACCGGAGGCAAACTCGCCACCACGGTCGAAGTGGAGACACAGCACGGGGAGACCTCGGCGGACTCGCGCAGCTACGACCCACAGGATAAGAACGTCAGGCACGTCGGCCTTTCGCTCCAGGAGAAACACCGTGGTGTAGCGCGTGTAGTCTTCGACAAGCACCAGGAAGTAGCGCTCTCGACCTGGCCCAGGGACAGGGGCTAGACCCCAGACGTCCAGGTGCAGGATCTGGAGTGGCGCGGTGGCAGAGCAAAGCGAGGAGGAGTGAGGAGCACGGCACAGCCGGCCCTCAACGCAAGGTGTGCACGGCGGCATGGGCGAGGGAGGGAGGGAAGGGAGCGACGCAGGGAGACCTAGGACAAGACGGTGCTGGGACATTTGTGACACAGACGCGAGAGTGCAGGGTGACCTAGGCGGTGGTGCCACAGCAGCGACGGGTGAGTAAGCGATTGATACGAGCAAGCCACGGCTACCTAGGGGGACGCCATCATTGGGGGGGACGCAGTGTCAAGTGTAAATAGGCTGGACACCGGGTCCTAGGGAAACGTCGCAAGGAGGGCACCTGAGGTGGTCCCGGTGCAGATCGCGTACCGCTCGTGTCCGGGGAACGTAGTGGTGATGCCGAGGTCCTCAAGACAGCCGACACCAACTAGGTTCCTAGAGAATAAGGGGATGTGCAGGCCTGTAAGAGTGCCCGAGGAGGGCGTCGGACAGGGAAGGGTGGTGGAGCTATGTGCAACTACCGGACCGGAGGAGGGGTCTGCAAGTGCGTTGGTGGCAGGGGCGACAAGCGGCGTAAGGGAAGTGTGGTCGCGGAAGAAGTAGGTAGACGCACCGGAGTCAAGCGTGAAGGAGAGCGAAGCACTAGCGGCTATCGGCGGAGGGGCTAGTATGGAGCCTAGGCTAAACAAGGCAGGGGGTCCTATGCGTGACGCAATAGGGGAGCCTAGACTACACACAGTGGACACACCTACGCTAGGCAACACCGGATAATAGGGTCCAATCACACTAGAGTCATCAGCATACATTACATACATAGCATTCCTAATCTGATCCACGTCAAGCTTAAAGACCGGCATACGACAGCGATCCAGGGTGTACCAATCCGGAGGGTCCGACGCGAGACCGAAGCGGTGGTGGAACAGGTCGTCCAGGCGGCGGTAGCAGCGGTCGGCGGTGTGTTCGGGCCGGAGGCCGACAATGCCGCGGCGAGGGCCGGTTTGAAGCTAGTACTGGCAGATGACCACGCTGGAGCTGCCACCCGACACCGAGCTGCGCCCGCCCCCCCCCACGACCACCTCCGCTAGTGCCGCCAGTCCACTACGGCGGCGGGGGTCCCCACGGCGACTACTGCTGCTGCGGCTGCTGAGGTTGCGTCAGCTGCTGCGGCTGCTCCACGGCACCAGCCCCTGTCCCCTCGTCTGAACCGCCGCCCCGCCCTCACCGCCGCCACCCTCCCCATCGCCACCCCCCTTCCCCCCACCACGCCCCCTTTTAGGGCAGCGACCCTTACTCGGACGCTTCTGTGCTGAGGCCACCACATCGATCTCAACAACAGCAGCAGAGACGTCAGAGTAAGTGCACTGGGAGGGAGCACAACCCTGAAAGATAGGTACCGCTGCAGTACCGCTAGACTGAGCGATACTGCGCTGGCGGGTCTCTATCTCTGACAGGGCAGTGACGAAGGCAGTAAGAGTGAGGTCACCCAGGTGCTGACTAAGGAAGTGGTCGCGGGCTGTGGCTAGGTGGTCAGGGAGGCGCGTGGTGATGAGATAAAGGGTAGCGCAGAACGGCGGCGGGAAGGCAGTGAGCTGTGCCTCAGTGCTAGCAGTTTGGTAGCTCATCTCAAGCGCGCGGAGGTGCGTGGCAAAGTCGGCGATAGTGGGGAAGCAAGTAAGATGAGGGAACAGCATGGGAAGGATCAGGCGACCAGCAGAAGTAGTGGCGAGGATGGAATAGCACGCAATGACATCATCTAGGAAGGCCTGGGCATTCGCGACAGCGGTAAAGCGAGGACGCTCAGACAGGGGGAGCACACGGCTGATAGCAAGCTGGGCGACAGCGTTGCGCAAGTCCCAGATGGCACGATCAAGCGCAGCAGTGGAAAAGGCCTCATGCTCAGCAGAGGTGGGGGCAGCAGGGAGGGCAGCAGGGGCAGGGGGGGGGGGGGAAATAGGCCATCGACATGAACAGCCAGGGAGTGACCGTCCTGGCGCTGACCTGTAAGGTGACGCTGAAGATCGACGAGCCATGCCTCAAAGTCGAGCGCCCGACCCTCTGCGTCCAGACGGAGCTGTGACTCCGCCATCGCCACTGGTGCAGCCGCTGACGGCCGCTGACTGAGTGAGGAGGACAGGCAGAGGAAGCGGTGAAGTGCGGTGGAGTGCGGTGGAGTGCGGTGTAGTACGGTGGAGTGCGGTGGAGTGCGGTGTAGTGCGGTGGAGTGCGGTAGAGTGCAGTGGAGGGCAGTGTAGTGCGGTGGAGTGCGGTGGAGAGCGGGGGAGACAGCCGGCAGTGAAGCTGGCGCTGAAGGGGGCCAGAGCCGGTGGGTCGGCGCTGGAGCTGACTGGCTTAGCAGCTGGCTGGCCGACCGGCTGGCAAGGGCCGACGGGGCGCATGGGGCCGATGGGGCGCGGGCGGGGCCGGTAGGGCGCTAACGGGGCCGGTGGGGCGCTAACCGGCCGGCGGGGCGAGCAGGGCCAGAGGGGAGCACGGGCCGACGGGGCGCTAACGGGGCCGGTAGGGCGCGAGCGGGCTGGCGGGGCACTAACGGGGCCGGTGGGGCAAGCGGGGCCAGAGGGGCGCACGGGGCCGATGGGGCGAGAACGGGGCCGGCGGGGCGCTAACGGGCCGGTGGGGCCAGCGGGGCCAGAGGGGCGCACGGGGCCGACGGGGCGCGAACGGGGCCATAAAGGGGCTAACGGGCTGGCGAGGCGAGCAGGGCCAGAGGGGCGCACGGGGCCTACGGGGCACTAGCCGGGCCGGTGGGGCGCTTAGGGGCCGGCGGGGCGCTAACGGGCCGGCGGGGTCGCTAACGAGCCGGAGGGGCGCTAACGGGCCGGTGGGGCGCGAACGGGGCCGACAGGCGCTAACGGGCCAGAAGGGGGCGACGGGGCGCTAACGGGGCGCTAACGGGCCAGAGAGGGAGGGGGGGGGGGGAGGGGGGCGCACGGGGCCGACGGGGTGCTAAGGGGCGGCTAGGAGCGGGCGGCTAGGCCTAGGTTGAGAGCAGAAGCGCGGGTGGGCAGGGAGGACCTAACCTAATGGGTGATACCATCTCAGAGTAACAAGTTGACTAGAATGAGGCATACAGGTTCATTTTGTTCAAGTGTTTGTACCCTCTAAGAGCATGCACCTATCTAGCCTATTATAACATATACAAATATGCTTGACATATATGAATAGTGCATATACTGCTGTAGCTGTTGCCCTGAGCACGCGTACCCTGCCATTTGCAATAGTGACTGCGAGTGCTTGCTGTTGCTGGCATTGCTTCTGCTCCTTGCTGTTGCATCCATGTCTTGTGGCAAGTGCTATGGCAGTCCTGGTGCCTGCTGTACAGCACACGGGGGTAGGGAGGGACACGCCCACAGCTGCTGTATGCCAACGGTGGTTGCTGGAGCCACGATTGTGTGCACCATGCAGCAGTCCAGTATCAACTGTGACAGACACCTTGCAGCAATCAAGCACCACCTGTTTCCAGCTGACCATGTTGGGATGCCATCCTGGGGCTGCTGCTGCTATGCAGCCAGTGGGGTTTGCCGTCTCCTGTGACTGGTTTATCCTACCCCACATGCTTTACTTGACAGCCTTTGCTTACAGCAATTCATCTGACACCCAGAAATGTCATCGTCTGCAAGCCATACACCAGTCACTTGCTACCTAAACTTCTTTCATAATTTCTAGCCTACCAACTGACCTACCCATACCCCTGCGTCTTTCTATGTGGACCCACCCCTCCGCTCTCCCCCTTGTCCTGCACTCTAAAGGTGAAGTTGAGACGACCTGGAGTCATGGCAAGGCCTGGCGGTCTGGTTCCTGGAACAAGGGCTCTGGTGCCGTGGTAGACGAGTCGAGAGGCCGCTCCAAACACCAATACATCCCCACTGGCTAGAGACACAACTCGCTCCCTGTACAGGACATTAGTAGGTAGGAGGAATAACGAAGAGTGTGGATATTCAAAAGATGAGCTATCGGCTGGAGTGTTGAGATGAGAACTAGGGAGTGTGTGTGCACATACACACTAGCTCACAAGCACACACAGTGGCGCATGCCTGCCTGGATGAATGCCTGCATGCTTGCACGGGCCCACACGCCAGAATATGCACGCGTACACTGCTCACCTTTTACCATAATCCCCCGTATATAACACCCTATGGTGTACATAAAAATTCACTAAAAAAAATGACTGGGTCTTAACAGTCGCCCGGAAAAATATAGTGCCCATATTTTAGGTAAAATGCAATTTGAATTTGAGTGTTCCAGGCCATGCTAGCTCACTTCTGCGCGGAGCGGCTGTTAACGAGGCATATCATCCGCTGAGACGAAACTTACTAACCAGGCGTCGTTGGCCAATCCCTGCTGAGTGCTGTGGTCTGGGCCAGCTTCGTGCCGCACCTTCAACCGTCAAGACCTGAGAGGATTTCGCTCGGGAGGATTTTGACCGTCAAATCACAGCAGAAGCCGCGACTTCGACGGTTGAAATCCTCCCAAATCTCAACCTTCGCTGACGTTTCGATTTCGCGCTGCAACTTGTGTTGATTCTTCTGCCCGTTTTTTTCACTGCTAATGGTAGTTGACATTGCATTTTTCATCCTGCTCGTTTTTTTCAACGGAGAGGAGCTTGAAAAACGACGGAATACTGTTCTTTGCTGCATAAAACGAGCAGGGTGTTATGTAAAATGCAAACCCCTAAAAGCGGGTGCTCTCAAAAACCACCCTATCATAAGCTCTCCCCCGCATAAACCACCTACGGAGTGACTATTTCGGCGGGTGTTAAATACGGGGGATTACGGTATGTGTCGCATCGCCAAGAGCTGACCGCATCTGTTTTGGATCGACTCTAAAGCGCCCACACATTCTGATACACATGCACACATGCTAGCATGCATGCACACCGTTGGACCGCGCACATGTTACAGGACGCATCGCCTAGAGCTGACCATGCAGCAACTAGAGGGTCGTCATCGTCAATGTGCACTGCCTTTCAAGTCGACTCAAAAGTCATTTCACACCCGCACACCTGCATGTACTCGCATGGACCCATGGCTACCACGCACCTGTTACGCGACGCATCGCCTAGAGCTGACCGCGCAGCGGCTGCAGGGTCGTCAATGCGCACTGCGATGCCGGACCGACGGCGGTGGAGGGGAGGGAGCGAGCGGAAGAAGAACTTCATAGTGTCGCCCACACTCACACTCACCTGGGGATTGGGGGACGGATATTTGAGCTGACTAGAAAAAGGAACTAGGGGACATATGTTTGAGTCAGCTAAGAAATGGAATTGGCAGGTAGATTTATGAGTCAAGTCAAGTGACAAAGAAGAACTTCTTACTGTACACACTCACACTCACCTGGGAATTGGGGGACAACCCACCGTACAGGATGCAGACATGTGGAGAGGGATGAAGAGAAACGCCAAAAAAAGAAGCAAACAAACAATAATTGGAGCACAGTCATTCAGGGTGGGCAGTAAATGATGGGGCATATGGTATCTTACTTCTGCCCTTCCTATCATACCCCAGGGCCCCTTCCCTCCTACTGGCATCCCTGAGGTCCTACCACGGGCATGTTGTACGAGTCGTCTAGATCCTGGTGCCCTCCCAGCCCGACCCGCCCCAGCTCCTCCGCACGTGCCTGAAATGGGACCAGCAAGGGAGGCACAGACACTGAAAGCAGGCGTGCGTGTGTGCTGAGTCTGCGTGTGTGCTGTGTCTGCGTGTGTGCTGTGTCTGTGCGTGTGTGTGGGCAGCACCCTTGTTCCTCCATGCGAGTTTGATGTTCACAATGTTCCTCCATAGCCGCGCAGCATTGGGGCTTGGGTGGGTGGGAAAGGTGCACCGCAACTGATGCTAGTCGACACATGTGCTGCTACTGCTGCGTCATCTCGGTTCGTGTATGCACACGGCGCGGAGCATGAATGCACCGGTACATGAGCTAGAGGCACACGGGCACATGGCCTTACTGGGTAGAAGTTAACAAGGCATACATCTGGCACAAACGAATCAGGACCAGCAGCACCTTCCGTCCCTCGCCCCAGAACCCCCGCCTCCTCCTCCTCTCCACTTCCACCTCCTGCAGTTCCCACTCCTCCTTCCACTCCCCCTTCCACCACTCTTTCCACTCCTCTGTCCCCCCCACCCCAGAAAACAGGGCTGTGGGAGTGCGCCTCTAGAGCCAGGCACCAGGCGAGGTGGGCCAGATCAGGGGGGATGGGCGGGGCGCAAGCAGCAGCAGAGTAGCGGTTGAGCGTGGAGCTCCAAGCTGCACCCCAGCAGGTCTGGTGCGTAATGGGGGTGAGGCCAAGGGGAACAGGGGTTGCATACGCAGGTCTGAGGATGGGTGAGTCTGAGGATGGGTGGGCCAGGTCACGGGAATGGGCGGGGCACAGGCAGCAGCGGAGTAGCAGTTGAGCGTGGAGCTCCAAGCCGCAGCGTACAAGCTACAGAGTACTAAGTACAAAGAACAGAGTCCATAGTCCAGAGTACAGAGTCCAGAGTCCAGATTCCAGAGTACAGAGTCCAGAGTCCAGAGTACAGAGGACAGAGTACAGAGTACACAGTCCAGAGTCCAGAGTCCAGAGTCCAGAGTCCAGAGTCCAGAGTCCAGAGTACACAGTCCAGAGTCCAGAGTCCAGAATACAGAGTCCAGAGTCCAGAGTCCAGAGTCCAGAGTCCAGAGTACAGAGTACAGAGTCCACAGTCCAGAGTCCAGAGTCCAGAGTCCAGATTCCAGAGTACAGAGTCCAGAGTCCAGAGTACAGAGGACAGAGTACAGAGTACACAGTCCAGAGTCCAGAGTCCAGAGTCCAGAGTCCAGAGTACACAGTCCAGAGTCCAGAGTCCAGAATACAGAGTCCAGAGTCCAGAGTCCAGAGTACAGAGTACAGAGTCCACAGTCCAGAGTCCAGAGTCCAGAGTACAGAGGACAGAGGACAGAGGACAGAGTACAGAGTACAGACTACAGAGTATAGAGTACAGAGGAGAGAGTCCAGAGTACAGAGTCCAGAGTGCAGAGTCGAGAGTGCAGAGTCCAGAGTACAAAGTACAGAGTCCATAGTCCATAGTCCAGAGTACAGCGTACAGAGTACAGAGTCCTGAGTCCAGAGTCCAGAGTCCAGAGTACAGAGTACAGAGTCAAGAGTCCAGAGTCCAGAGTGCAGAGTCCAGAGTCCAGAGTGCAGAGTACAGAGTGCAGAGTCCCGAGTACAGAGTACAGAGTACAGAGTCCAGAGTCCAGAGTACAGAGGACAGAGTACAGAGTGCAGAGTGCAGAGTCCAGAGTGCAGAGTACAGAGTCCAGAGTCCAGAGTACAGAGGACAGAGTCCAGAGTCCAGAGTCCAGAGTACAGAGTACAGAGTGCAGAGTGCAGAGTGCACACGTCGGCACCAGTGTTTCTCACCAAGTACAGGTGGTATCTGCCTCCCCCAGCAGTGACTGGTCTGCGAAACAGGTTCCTTGTTTCCTGCACTGCCCGCACGAACCGCTGCTGCTTTTTAGTTTAAGAAGTCTCAAACCTCCCCCCCACCCCCCTTCCCCTGCCTCCCCCTCACCGAGTACAGGTGGTATTGCCCCCCCCCAGCAGTGACTGGTCTTCGGAACATGTCCCTTGTGTCCTGCGCTGCCCGCACGAATCGCTGCTGCTGCTCCACTGACAGCCACCCCTGTAGCAGCACCATGCTGACGTGGAACCCACGCGGCAGTGTTAGAGAGAGGAGGATCCGTTTTGAATTCGGGAGGACGGGAGGAGAGGGGAAGTGGATGCAAAGTGGGGAAAGTGCGGGGCGAAAACATCCAGAGAGGTTCGGGAGCAAGGGAAGGCGCAAGGCAGGAGTAACAGACAAAGTGGTGAAGCGAAAGCTGGGAGTAATTCTAGAGCAATCATGTGCAAGCCACGAGTGAGACAAAGAGTGAGCACACACAGTGGAGACATTACGGAGTGAGGAGTGAACAGAAACGGGAGCAAGGATATATTAAGGAGCAAACCATTCCTCTTCATTCCTACCTTCCGTCTTCCCTGTTCCGTCCTTGGCCCACTCACCCCGATTGGAGAACGGTCACACGCCCAGGCGCTCGTCCTGCCATCCCTTCCCCATGACCAAGAGAGCCCGCAGCAGCAGCGCCTGCCGCAGCCGGGGCCACAGCAGCAGCAGCCGGGGATGGAGTAGCACCACGCAGGGCATTAGGCGGGGAGAAGCTGCGTGTGGCGGTTGTGCTGACGGCACTGTGGTTGGAAGCGCAAGGTGAAGGAGGAGGACGGGAAAGGAAGGCGGAGAGGCGGGGTTGGCGGAAGCCGTCCAGGCGCAGGAAGTCAAGCGGTGCGGCAGGGAGCGAGCCAGATGGGGGAGTTGAGGGGGGTGGGGAGGGGGGTGGGGAGAGAAAGGGCTGGTGCGAGCGGGATCGGTGGGTTGGTAGGCGTTGCTTCAAGGCCAGGGTTCGCTGTGCAGGGTGGGGCTGTTGAGCAGCGAGGGGCTGTTGAGCAGGGAGGAGCTGTTGAGCGGGTACGGGATTTTCAACAGAGGGATTTTCATGGGGAGGGGATGCTCCAGAGGAGACTTGGGAGGAGGGGGATGGAGCTTTCGCAGCTTGCCTCAGTTGCTGCTGACGCCCATTTCTGACCGTGGTGGTGCCGTCCTCTGTGCACTCTCTAGAAATTCCTCCCTCTCGCCTCCTCTTTGTAACGTAACCTTGAAGCGAAGAAGAAACGTCAGCACGGCACCACCTCCTCTCGTCGACACCTTTCAGCTGGTACCACTCATCACGGCACCACCTCTCCTCGTCAAGCTCCTCATCTCTCCCATCTCGCTCCGTTTCAGCAGCGTCAGTGGCATGACCTCCTACAACAGCAGGATCCTCCCCCTCCCGTCCTTCACCGCTGGTTGAATCTCCCGCTGCTCTGTCTCGTGGGGGCTGCTCCCCATCCCTCGTCACCTCCCACCCTGCGCTTTCTCTCAGCAATGCATCGACCCCTTCGTCTCCTGCCTGCCCTCCGTCCGTCGCCCGTACTCCCCAAGCCTTACTTCGTTGCGAACCATCCGCTCCCGCATCCCTGACCTCCCCTGCTGCCGTGCTCTCGTTATTATCACCACGGGCTGCATCCCTCGCTGCTGTCACGAACTTCGAGAATGAGTCTGTGGCAAGGTCCGATCCCAACCCGTCTCTCTCTCCTCGCCGCATGTGATGGAGAGTCAGCTCGTTAGCTGAAGCAGCAACAGCACCAGCCGCGCAGAACCGATGCTTCTCCTGTTTCTCCTGCGTCTCCCCGCATGCCGCGCCTGCTGGTTTCGTTACTCCCCACGGCCGTTCGCCGCTGTCATAGTTGGCCGCTCTTTTGTCGCGGGCTGCTGTCAGAGGGCTTGGCGGCAGAGGGCTTGACGGCTGACGGTTTAACGACAGAGGGCTTGACGGCAGGCTTGACGGCAGAGGGCTTGACGGCAGAGTGCTTGGCGCCAGCCCGCTTGACGGCGGAGCGCTTGACGGCAGAGGGCTTGACGGTCGACACGCCGTGTCCAGGCACTCATTCACGTGGAACAGCATGCGCGACCGTGCGACGTGCTTCTCGCACACCACGCATCGCCACAGCCCGCTGCGACCTTCGCCGATTTCGTCAATCTCGCCAGCGTCGCTAGTACCTGCAGCATTGACCGCGAGAGGCGGCCGGCTCCGGCCAGAGCAGGCACTTGGGCTACCTCTGCATTTTCCAGCGACGCTACTTGTAGTACAGTTAGTAGCACTACTAGTAGGCTTAGTATTGCTATGAGAGGACTTAGAATAGCCGGTTTTAGGAGACCGGCCCCGGGCCTGCTTGCGACTAGAATTTCCGACTGGCGATCCAAGCTTTTGCTTGCCTGCGTCTATTACGCGGCGCTGAGAGTTTGTAACTTTCTGCTGAGACGGAGCCAGAGCCATCAGACGCCGTAACGCGTTTTCGGGCTTTCGCGGCTGCTCCTCGCGCAACGCCATGGCGGAACGTGTCAAAACGCTATTTTGGTGGAATTCAGGAAAAGTGTCAAATCGCTCCTCGGCCGAAACGCTATTTTCCGTGTTTGGTGTGTTTGAAGAACTCCAGTACGGTAGGACCTAAGTTTTAAAGGTTGTACAAGAGGGTGCGTAGATAGGTGGAGGAGAGTCTCCAGGGAGGAAAGCAAAGGAGCCAGTACCTAGATGCATCCTTGGGCTCATGTCGAATCGTTACCAGTACGCTTTCTCTCTTGGACCCTCTCTCTCACTCTCTCACTCGCACACGACTCCTTCCCCACCCCATGCGTACAGTACAGTACAAACATTTGACAGCCCAAATATTGGGCGGGAAGAAGGTGCGCGCAGATGCTTGGATATTCCCGATGACCGAAGCAAAACGTTTTGAGTACCAAGAGGAAGTTAGATTTTGAAGCTCAATGATGGTTACACGGATATACAGATAATTGGACTAGCACCACTTAGCATAATATAGCCCGTTTTATCAAATTGGTACAGCACTTCGGGTAGGCCAACCCACTCTGCGCCTCAACTCTTGTGCCATGCCGTGCGCTGCGACCACAGCAATCTCACGTGCGACACGTGGCGTTCACTGCTGACACAACGCCCATCATGTCACACACGCACACTCCTTGAAAACATCCTCCTCCTCGCCTCCTCCTCTCGTCTCTCCTCCACCCCTTGCCTCCTCGCCTGGTTGGCTATGTTGTCTCCTTGTCTCCTTTGTTACCCGTCTCCCTTTCACTCTCCTCTTGTGCATCTGTCGCTTCTCCCTCCCTCCCTTCCTGCGCACTGGATCGCGGCGAGCCTGAAAAGCAAAGCTGAAGCTTTGTATACCCACCCAAAATACCCTGCATTTCGCTCAGAATGTCCCCATAACGGAGAAGGTTCAGCATGCTAAAAGAATCAGGCAGCTTCTCACCACCTCTGCCTAAACAATCTGCTCGTCGTCGTGTGGCGTTCCACACACTGTCCGAAGCTTCTAAGTGATGGCATTGCTGTTTTTCAGCCGTTCGCATCGTTGACAAGCACACTTCCGTAGCGTCTCGACCGGCAACACCACACGACGACCAATCCCTGGCTCTTGGCGGCATTCCATGGCGGGCGCAATGGATCCCTCGGACCGATCTAACAATCCCTTGCAACCGCCTCATTCCTCAGCCAGGGACCCTCCGTTTCCCCCAAAGGAGTCTCTTTTATCTCCCAAGGTCCCTCTTTTTCCATCAGGGGATCTCTTTCCCCCGCAAAGGAACCACCTTTGTCGCCCCGCGGACTCTCATCACCCCGGCGGCGGATCCTCCCCTTGTTTCTCCCAGCGCTGCTCCGCCGCGCGTTCGCCGTCCCCAGATCCCATCTCACAGGCACACCTCGTGGCGCCGCTGCACCCATCGCCATCCTCCTCCTCCTCGTCCTCCTCCGACTCCGATGAGGAGTCCGCGCCCTCCCAGCTCAACCGTGAAGCACCGCTCCAAACCGCTGCGCAACCGTCTCTACTTCCCGTGCATAATTCCGCGCAGCCTTCCGTGCCGCAGGCCGCGTCCGGGCCCCTCCGCGTCCCGCGGATTAACGGGGCGGCGGGAGCGGGCCGGTGGGGTGGGCGGGCGCGGTACAATGGAAGGATGAAAGTGACAGAGAGGAGATACCATCCAGAGGCGGAGGTGTGGAAGAGACAGTGGGAGAGAGAGAGGGAGATGGCGAGAGCGAGGGAGAGGGAGTGGGAGAGGGAGATGGGGCTAGAGAGTGAGGGGTCACTGGGCGCGGAATCGGACGGTGATGAGGATGGTGCAGGGGAAGATCATGTGGGATGTGAGGGAGAGGGGGAGGCGAAGGATCAGGAAGGGAAGGCAGGGAAGAAGAGGAAGGAAGGAGAGGAAGGGTATGAGGGAACGAAGAGGGAGGGGGGAGCGGACGGGTTTGAGGGAAGGGAGAGGAGATCTGGTGGCTCTGCTGCAAGTGTGCTGGGTGCGGGAAACGGTCGAGTTGGAGGGGATTGTGGTGGGGTGGGAGAGGGAGGAGGCGCGGAGGAAGGTGTAGATGGTGAAGGGGAGGAGGAGAGGGGAAATGAAGAGGAAGAGAGGGAGGAAGGGGAGGTACAATCCGATGGCGATGAGGATGATAATTGTGGTGACGATGATGCTAAGGAGGATGAGCACAAGGAGATCTTGATTCGAGGTGAGCAGAGGCAGGGTGAGATGGAGAACGAGAGGGAGATGGGGATTGGGAGGGAGAGGGAGAGGGAGGGAGGGAAGGCGGGTGTAGCAAAGGTAGAGTGCGATACTGCTGTGGATGTTGAAGACAAGGGCTCAGTGGGGTGTGAGGGGGAGGAGACGAAGGTGCAGGTGAGGGTGAAGACGGAGCGAGAAGAAGAGCTCAGCGAGAAGGAAAGGGGGTCTAGTGGCGGGCCAGCACGTGTGCTTGGCGTGGTGAATGGTGGCGAGGGGAGGGGATGGAGTGGGTCGAGGGAGGGAGGTGATGCCGGGGAAGGTGTAGATGTAAAGAAGGAGGAGGGGGAAGGAGGGGAAGTTAAGGGCGATAAAAAGGAGGAGGAGGAAGTAGAGGAAGAAAAGAATGTGAAGAAGGAGGACGAGGAAGGAGAGGGCAGAAAGGTAGAGACAGACAACGAGTATGAGATGGAGGATGACCAATGGGAGGTCGAGATATTGGATGGCCACGGTGGCTGTATTGATAGTGATGGTGATGATGATGATGACGTGCTGTTTGTAGATGAGAAAGTATCAAACGGCATGGGTGGAGGTCAAGGGGAGAGGGGCGCTGTTGCTGGAGAGCTGGAAGGAGCAGCAGCAGGAGGAGCAGGAGGAGGGACGGGAGGAGGAGGAGAGGCAGCCGCGCCAGGGGCAGCGAGCCCAAGGAAGAGAAGGAAGTTTAAGAAAGCACGGGAGGAAAAGGAAGCAGGTGGTGGCAAGCGGCACAGTAGTAAAGCCCAAGGCGCGGCGAACGACGCTGCCGCTGTTGCTCACTTCTGGCAAGATGAGGCGGAGTACAATTCCCTGCACAAGGTACTTGCAAGCTCATTTAAATATTGGTATATCAAATAGAATTGCCGCTAATTTTTTTCTCCCTTCCATCCACCCCTTTGTGGCTGCAGATGCGAGCGCAGAACACTGGCCTGCCCTGGGGAGTGCAGCAGGGGTGCATGGACTGCCGCTACCGTGGCTGCTACAGGTGCTGCCACGTGGCAGCGCGGTGGAGGCCAGAGCAGTCGCGACGGCCGGTAGTTGCGGACGCACCGACTTTCTACCCCACTGCAGAGGTACACCAGCTGCTGCATCTCAGGGTGTTATTGAGAATTCTCAGAGACGGCCGGAAGTTGCGAACGCCCCTACTTTTTACCCACTGCAGAGCTACACCGGCTGCTGCTGCGCCGCATCGTCTACAGTTGCAACAGGAACATGCACGCCCACTCAAGCTGAAAATTGATTCATCGTCTACAGTTGCGAGGGAACTGAGCCTATATTGCAGAATATCTCCACGGACGTGTACCGCACCCTACACCTCCCGATCACCCTCAACGCCCCTCAGCTGCAGCACGTGGCGCATAGTGCCGCTTTGAGAGGTCTCAGCTCCGTACGCTTTCTACCCGCTCCCACCTCTTATTCCCCCTCCAGGAGTTCGCCAACCCCGTTACCCCGTGCGTTACCACTTACATCCAGCTCATCTGCTTCGGAGGCGCCTCCAATGCATCCGTCTCACCCCCTCTCCCTCTTACCTCTTCCTCCACCGCTCTCCTTCCTCACCTCTCCCTTTTCCTCCCTCCAGGAGTTCGCCAACCCCGTGCGCTACATCCAGTCCATCCAGCGAATCGCAGAGGAGCATGGCATATGCCGCATTGTGCCGCCAACCGACTGGTCCCTCCCTGCCTCTGCCGCCCTCTCCTTGGACCATCTTCGTTCCCTGCGCTTCCCCTATCCCACTCGCGTGCAAGAGATCAGCCGGCTTCAGGTGAGATCCGTCCATTTTTGGTACTGTGTCCATTCAGCCTGTTGTATTATTGCTGCTTCTCTCCTGTCCCCCTGTCCTCCTGCTTCTCTGTCCTCCTGCTTCTCTGTCCTTCTGTTGTCGTTCTGCTCAACAACCTTCTCCCCCATCCCTTCAGTTTCCTCACCCTCGTCTCTATCCCTCCCTATTCCCTCTTCACCTCTTTGTCCTCCCTGTCCTGAGACCCTCCGTGCACCCCAGGAGGCAATTCTTGAGGCGCCTTATAAATCTACTCCCCCCTTCACCCCTTTCCCTCCCTGTCCCGCGGCCCTCCGTGCACACCAGGTGCGCAAGCCCAGCTCTCCAGCTGCCCAGAACTGTGAGAGCTACCAGGAGCACTGCTACCAGTTGCCACAGCAGCAACACGAGCACGCACAGCAGCAGCAGCCACAGCACCACCAGCACCACAGCAAGCAGCAGCAGCAGCAGCATCATCTACAGCAACAGCTACAGCAACAACTACCGCACCAGCACCACAGCAACCCCCACCACCACCACCACCACCACCACAAGCGGCGGCAGCGGCCGCAGGACTATATTCCCCCGATCACAACAGTAGACAACATCCCCATCGTTCTCGCCCTCGCTGCTCCGGGCGGCCCTAGCGACTTCTGGCCGGAAAACCCCCCAAAACTAAAACCCCTCTCCTGCATCCACTCCCCTGGAAAACCCCTCCACTGGAACAAGAAGGGCAAGCGCACATACAGGGGGGTGGGGGGATGCAGTGGAGGGTTTACAGGGGTGAGGGAGAGGGGGGTCCGTTTCCCCACCCGGCCTTTCACACGCCCGCCTCTGCCGGTGCATCTTGGCTCGGAGTGCGAGTTTGGGTTTGAGCCCGGGGAGCCGCATACCCTGCGGCACTACCAGGCATATGCGGAGCGGTTTGAAAGGGAGTACTTTGAAGGGGTGGGGAGGAGGGGAGGGGAGAGGGGTGGAGATGGAGAGGAGGCGAGTGGGAGGAGCAAGGTTCGGGATTTGTCATCGAGGGAGAGCGGAAGTGGGAATGGGAATGGGAATGGGAGTGGGAATGGGAATGGGGGAGGGGGTGGGAGTGGAGGAGGGGTACCGACATGGGAGCAGGTGGAAGGCGAGTTTTGGAGGGTTGTGGAGACACCAAGTGAACGCATTGAGGTGAGAGAAAGTGGTATTCGGGGATATGTATGATGTGGGGAGAGAGTGCTGAATGCGCTCTGATTCCTGGTTGGCAGGATTGACTGTTTTTTCATACGACCTACAAATAACACAGCAGGAAGGGACAGGAATGCTGCTGCTGCTGTCTGTTGTTTGTGATGCATGGTGTTAACTTTCTTCCTCTTTTTTTTCTTCCTTTTTTTTCCCTCCTTTTTGTTTTCGTAGGAGATTTCACGAATCGCACACTGACTCTTGTCGTCTGTTGTGTGTGTGCAGGTGCTGTATGCATCTGATGTGGAGAGGCATAAGATACCACCACCTCCTCCTGCTCCTCCTCCTCCTCCTCCTCCTGCTCCTGCTCCTGCTCCTGCTCCTGCTCCTGCTCCTGCTCCTGCTCCTGCTCCTGCTCCTGCTCCTGCTCCTGCTCCTGCTCCTGCTCCTGCTCCTGCTCCTGCTCCTGCTCCTGCTCCTGCTCCTGCTCCTGCTCCTGCTCCTGCACTGTATGCGTCTCATGCTGCAATGAACACGCTCTGGCAAACAGAGAAGACACAAGGAGCAGCGAACTGTGGTGCAGCAGCACCTGCAGCACCTGCAGCACCTGCAATGGAAACACGGATGCCGAGACCGATGCAGCGCCAAGCCAGTCACAACAGCAGCAGCACCAGCAGCAGCATTGCCAGCAGCATGAGCACAAGCCGTAGCAGCAGCAGCCTCAGCAACAGCAGCAGCAGTGGTGGGGGTAATGGGAGGTGGTGGGACATGTCCAGTGTGGCGCGCATGAGTCCGTCGGTGCTGCAGTTCGAGGAGGAGCAGGTCTCAGGCATCACGGTGCCCTGGGTCTACTTTGGCATGTGCCTCTCCTCCTTCTGCTGGGTACGTACGTACTGTGTAAGGATTAGGTGGTGTGAGGATTAGGCAGTGTCAGGCATAGAAATCGCTACCAGGGCGTCATGGTGCCCTGGGCAATGGGCATGTTGGTGCCCTGCCCTGGGTCTACTTCGTCATGTGCCCCTCCTCCTTCTGCTGGGTGCTTTACCTCCTCCCTCTTCAATGCGCTACTCGTGCTTTTCCTTCCTCCCCATCTCTCTCAGTGTTTTCAAACCAGCATCACATCAGCACACTCTACATATCTGTGCAATCTCGTCAGTTCTCACGAACCACTCCTCATCAGTTTTTCAACCTCTCATCCCTCCATCCATCCCTCCATCCATCCCTCCATCCATCCCTCCATCCATCCCTCCATCCCAACGAGCATGCCAGCATGTGGAGGATGACCCGCATCTCAACGCGCTCAACATGTGTCTGGGCAATCGCATCAGTGCCTCATCATGTGGCACCCCCGTGCCTTGATTTTCCATCGTCATCCAAACCATCCCCTTATCCTTCCATCCCTCCATCCCTCCATCCCTACTTCCCATGGCCATGCCAGCACGTGGAAGACCAGCATCTCAACTCGCTCAACTACCTGCACTGGGGGCGCCCCAAGGTGTGGTACGGCGTGGCCAGCAGGCATGCAGAGCGGTTGGAAGCAGTGATGCGCAAGCGCCTGCCAGAGGTCTTCCGTGCCACGCCTGACCTGCTGCACCGCCTTGTGAGTGTCAACTGGCTTGATTGCTAGCTTGCACCCCACTGGCTTGCACCCCACTGGCTTGCACACTGGCTTGCACACTTGCTTGCTCATAGGTCTGCTGTTTGAGCAGACTATGCTCGAGTCTTGTATGGAGATTGCAAGCTGACTACCAGCTGGTCGAGTGTGTGCTAGTCGTATTTTTGGAATGCATTCGAGGTTGCTAGCAAGGAGCAAGCGAGCATCGGAAGCTGAGGCTGGGATGATGCACGGTGCTAAGCGAGGCTGTTCTTCTTTGATGCATGCATTAGGCGTCTTTCCTAGAGCCACCCTCGCTTTGCTCCCTGTCTCTCATTCTGTGCTCACCCCACTCCCTCCTTCACGGCAACTCTCTTTCTCTCCTGCTCCTGCCGTCATTCCTTCCTGTCCTTCATCTCTCCTCACGCTCCAGCCTTCTCTTTCTTCCCTTCTCTTTCCATTCTCTGCCGACAGGTGACGCAGCTCTCTCCCTCCATGCTGCAGCAGGAGGGCGTTCCCGTGGTGCGCCTGGTGCAGAACCCCAACGAGTTTGTCGTCACCTTCCCTCGAGCTTACCACGCAGGTCGGTGGCTATTAGGGGGGTGATCCGGGTGGCGGATTTCTCCTGTTTGGCAGCTGTTTGGTTGCTAGTTCGCACGCAGTCTCTCTTTTGGCTTTTGTGCTAGTAGTAGGTAGATTGAAGGTAACTGCTGTGTGGCCTGTTTGCGCTGCTTTCACAGCATGGCTTCCACCCCTCACTCCTCTTCTTGTCTTCTTGTCACTATGTGTGCCCTCCCTCTTTCTCCCCCTCTCCCCCCCTCTCCCACTCCCCCCCTCCTGCTCCACTCCCTCTCCCCCCAGGTTTCAACGCCGGGTTCAACTGTGCCGAGGCTGTCAACCTGGCGCCGCCTGAGTGGCTGAGCCACGGGCTGAGGGCAGTGGAGGGCTACCGCGCGCTCAACCGCAGTGCCACGCTCGCCCATGACAAGCTGCTGCTCCGAGCCGCTGCTAAAGCCGCTGACGCTGCTGTTGCTGCTGCTGCTGCTGCTGCAGTTGCTGATGCTGGTGGTGGTGCTGATGCTGGTGGTGGTGCTGCTGCTGGTGGTTATGGTGGTGGTGGTGCTGCTGCTGCTGAGGATGCAGTGTGGTGCGAAAATGCGTCGATGATATGCAGCGCACTGCAGGTGAGAGCAGCAAGAGGGGAGAGCAGGGCAGGTGAGATCAGAGGGAGGGGGGAGCAGGGCAGGTGAGATCAGAGGGAGGGGTGAGCAGGGTAGGTGAGATCAGAGGGAGTGGGGAGCAGGGCAGGTGAGATCAGAGTGAGGGGGGAGCAGGGCAGGTGAGATCAGAGGGAGGGGGGAGCAGGGCAGGTGAGGTCAGCAAGTTTAGGAGACTGCAGTGTGTGTTTCTGGCGCCAAGAAAGCTGACATGCTGACCTTTTTCCTTGCCAAAAAACAAAAGAGCGTCTGGGCTGGTGAGTGAGAGCAGTGCAGGCAATCGCCCGCTTGCTTGCCCAAATGCTCCCAAACGCACTCACCGGCTACATTCTGGAGGCACCAGATGGAAGGCAGAGGTAGAGCTCAGAAGCTTCCGCCGGTAAGAATTTAGGCTCGGGAGCAGGACCAAACCACCCATGAGGTGTCCGAACGAATCGGGAGTCACGCCGCCTGCAGAATGCACCATGGGGGAGGGCGGAGTTGGAGACCACGCACCCCCCAAACAGCTTCGTGTTGGGTCGAATCTGGACGCCACCTCCACGCCTCCAGCACACCTCCAAAAGGGTGGAGTCCGCATGGCGGCAAGTTGGAGGCAGGGCAGGGTAGTGGGGTGAACCCAGGAGCCGCTCTACAAAGCAAGCTTGTCACCTGCCAAAACCCGCGCAGCCAGAACTTGTCGGAAGGATTAGGTAGGGGGCTCACGCAGTCCTCAATGTCCAATATTTCACCCGCGTTGGTTTGCGTCTGCCCTGGGGCAGCAATTCGCAGGTGCTAAATTTTGGAAAAACGGCACACTATGAAACCATGCGTGCGGTTTCTGTAAACCCCCGAGATGCTTCGCATGCTGGTGCGGGAAATCGTAGATTGGCTCGGTAGTCACCCTGAACTACTCACCCTGAACTACTCACCCTGAACTACTCACCCGGAACCCTGTCACATCCGCTTCCTCTCCTCTGCTTTCCATACGACTCCCCCCTTGTTCCCTATTTCCTTTAAAAGCTCATAATTGTGAACTCTTAAACCCGACAAACCTCATCACCCGCATCAGCCCTGGGAAAAAGCAGATCCCGTATCATCCCCTTTGAACCCCATCACCAGGAGCGCCTGTCACTAGAGAAGGCTCGGCAGCAAGCACTCCTCTCTGCCACCCAGTCTCAGCTGTCATCAACGGGAGGGCGTCCTTTCCGCCTGTCACAACTCGACACCCTGCTTGTGCTTCAACCACCACAATCGCCACAACCACCACAAGCAGCACAACCACCACAATCACAAGCAGCACAGCCAACACAGCCAGCGCAAGCAGTGCCAGCAGTACAAGCAGCAGAAGCTGCAGAACCAGCACTACCAACACAAGCAACGCGATCCCCACCTGACCTGGACTCCCTCCAGTGCTGCTTTTGCTCCTACGACCTCTACCTCTCCTTCGCCTCCTGCTGCCGAGCCTGCTTCCCCAGGCAGCCAGATATAGCTCTGGCAGCAGGGGGGGCTGGTGCCTTTGGGACAGGTGGTAGTGCTGTTAATGCAGCAGCAGGGGCAGCGGCCGGAGCAGGAGCAGCGGATGCAGTCACAGGGATGCAGGTAGCAGTGGATACAGCAGCAGCAAGAACACCCGAAGCCGAGGCAACAGACCTGGCAGTTGCAGTTGCAGCAGCAGCAGCAGCAGCAGCAGCAGCAGGAGCAGTGGAGTCAACTGTACTAGGCTGCACACCGGGTCATGGTTTGGAGGGACTTGCTGAGGCTGCTGCAACTGGTGCAACTGGTGCTGCTGGTGCTGCTGGTGCTGCTGGTGCTGCTGGTGCTGGTGGTGCTGCTGGTGCTGCTGGTGCTGCTGGTGCTGCTGGTGCTGCTAGCGCTGCTGGTACTGCTGCTGATGTGATTCCCCCTTGTTTTGAGGCGCCTTCTCACAGTTGTGCTGCCAGTGCTAAAAATGCTGCAGTGGCAGCTCCCCTCCGAGTGGCGTGTGTGGAGCACGGGTGGCTGCTGGTGCAGGAATGCCCCCACAGAGCTGCAACAGGGCAGGGGGGTTGCTGGCCGGGTAATGGGGCGGGCGTGTCAGGATGCATTGACAAAGAGGAGAGGAGGTGGGGGGTGGATGGGGAAAGGAGGGAATGTGGAGCAGCGTGCGTGAGAAAGAGTGGGTTAGAGGTTGTTGTGGAGAATAGTTTGGGTTTGGAGCCCACAGCAGCTGCAGCAGCAGCAGCCGCAGCAGAAGCATACAGGTCAGAGTCAGGGGCTGGCAAGGCAGTGGGTTCAGGATGTGAGTTGGACCCAGTGCTGTTCGTGCGGTACTCTGTGGAAGATCTTGAGAGTATTGTGCTGTTACTGAAGGCGCTTAAAGGGGGTGCAAGCGATGGGCAGGAGGCTGGTGCAAGAGGTGATGCTGTGGGTGCTGTGGGTGCTGTGGGTGCTGTGGGTGCTGCGGGTGCTGTGGGTGGTGTCAAGCCTGGAGTTGGAGAGCGGGAGGGGCAGCTAGCAGGCCACACGACAGCTGCGGCTGCAGCTGCTACTGGTAGTGCTACTGCTACTGCTACTGCTACTGCTACTGCTGCTGCTGCTGCTGCTGCTGCTGCTGATTGTGGTGTTGCCTCTACTACTGGTGCTGCAGCACCAACTGCTGCTTCTGTAAGTGCTATAACTGCTGCTGCTGCTGCTGCTGCTGCTGTCACTGCTACTGCTACTGCTACTGCTACTGCTACTGCTACTGCTACTGCTACTGCTACTGCTACTGCTACTGCTACTGCTACTGCTACTGCTACTGCTACTTCTACTGCTCCTGTTCCTGTACCTGCTGCTGCTCCTCCTCCTCCTAACCGTACTGACCAATTGAAAATTCCTTTCGCGGATATTGCAACTCGCCCTTCTACTGCTATTGCACATGAAGGAGCGTCTGCTCCCATCTCACCTCCCATTCCTCCTCCTCTGTCTCTTCCTCTTCCTCTTCCTCTTCCCCTCCCCCCTCTCTCCACGCCATCTGTGTCTGCATCTGCTGCCAAAAGCGTCCCCCTAAACCCTTCAGCAGCCTCTAAGAAACCGCGCCGTTCCCTCACCCAGTCCTCCAGCTCATTCCTTTCTGCTCGTGGATCTGCAAAGTTTTCTGCCTCTGCCTCTGCCTCTGCCTCTGCTGCTGCCTCTCCCTCTGCATCTTCTCCCCCATCTGCTGCTGCTGCTGGGGCTGCTTCTTCCTCCACCGCTTCTGTTCCACCTCCCCCTCCAGTCCCAAACATCAAACCCGGCGTTTGTGCGGCTCCGGCTGCTCTGTCTCCCGGCATGCCACCTTGTCGCTTCGCAGTGCCTGTGATGACGGCACCAGTAACAGCAGCATCAGCGGCATCAGCAGCAGAAGCAGCAGCAGCAGCACCAGCAGCGGAGACTGCAGCAGCAGCATCAGCAGGGCAAGGGGCGGCAACGGGAGCAGGTGGTTCAGGGGCGTGGGAGGAGACTCTGAGTGATCCATGTGTGGACAAGCACATGCACGATGGCTCGCAGCAGCAGCAGCAGCAGCAGTCAGAGGGTTTGTTGCAGACGAAGAGGAAGAGGGTTGCGGCTGCAAGCGACCCACTGATGGAGTGCTGGCTGCGCTTGGAAACTCAACGGATGGAGCATCGGGCCCCGCTGCAAGGTCGACCGCAGGAGCAGCATCAGCAGCAGCCAGAGATTGTGGTTCTTACCTCTGACGACGAGGATTAGGAGCAGCCGGAGCGCTACTGGTGATTGCAGCAGACTGTTGGAACTGGGATTGTTGCTGTTGGCGCGTTGGTTGGTAGTAGTAAGGGCTCGAGAGAGGTAAAGGCTCGAGAGATGCATGGAATAGTATGAGGTGCAAATGAAATTGTGGGGTATCAATGCCATGGTACCTCACATTGATTTGATTTCGGTATCTCTGTCCATGAGAAAGGTTGGCAATCCAGGCTGTTGATAATTGTCAGAACTCAGCCACTAACCACTGAGTTCAAGGGGCTTGTTACTAGCAGGTCAGTGCGCCCATAGCCCCCCAGGCTCTGCACCTTGAGGATCTTCTCCAGGGTAACCACAGCGGGTCTCTCGACAGATAATACCGGTAACCATTGGGTGTTTGACTTGAGGCCAGATGAGGGGAGTGAAAAATGCCTGAAATGCCTCCATATTGCTACAACTTCTACTAGCAGGAGATAGTACCAGCATGGAAACGGTGAAAATAGAGAACTGTTATGTTACAGGGAGAAAAACAAATAAAAAAATCCAAAGCCAATCAGTTGCACAGAACCTCGCACCGCCCAACCACCCACCACATAAACTCCAAAAACCACCAGTCCCTCCTACCCATGCCTACTTAACTAAATCCAGTCCCATCCCTTCTTCCCGCTCCCTGGGAGGGAGAAACTGCAATCACACGGATGCTTTAACAAGAGGTCCCAATCAACTTCCAGCAGATGTGGCATGCGGGTAGGTCAGGGGTGTGCGTTGCTGCTTCTGGTGCGGCCTCCAAGCGAATCAATCTACCCAGCATGCTGTTGGTTCTTCTCCCTCATACACCGCCGAACTTCCTCCACCCTGCCGCTCCCGTGTTGCCATGTGGTGTATTGTCAAAATCGTTGTGGTGCAATTAGCTCCTTCGGATGCTCTTCTTGCGCGCACTCGAGACCGTGTCCCTGGAAGGGGAGGAAAAGGGAGGATGGAAACGGGAGGAGAGAGGGGGAGGGGGTGGGAGGAGGGAAGGCGAGGAATTGTGGTTAGTTTCATTAATAGACATGGCATGTGTCTCGCGCATCATACACTCGTCCATGCATGCATGCATCAAATGTATCAGGGATAAAAGCAATGGAAACACAAAACAATATAATAACAAAACATAACAAACAAGGTGGTCAGAGAAACTCACTTGACGATGGGCTGCACGGCGATCGTGGATTTCACCACATGCCCAAACGCGTCCTTCCACATCAGAGTCCCGTACTTGAACTCCCACGACGCCTGCGTCACCGAGAATTTCACAGTAAACGTCGCCGAGCCCCCCACAGCCAGCGACAGCTTGGCAGGCGTAACAGTAACAGTTACCCCCTGGGGAGGAACCACTGTAACCGTGTAATTGGACGCCGCAGACCCCACGTTGGTGACGGTCCTCGTGACGGAAACCGATTTGCTCAGGCGAGAAACAGCGATGGTGGGCCGATTGAGCATGTACGGCTTCACTGACACAAGCCGGTTTCGAGTGGAGAGCAGCGCGCGCGCCTTGGTCAGCCCCTGCCCGGCTAAGAAATTATAATAATCCGTCGCACCAGCGTTGTAAGTCAACCCAGGGTCCAGCACCCCCCCGACGTTCACGTGCCCCGCGCCCATATCCCAGGGGGTCGCGGTCGCGCCGCTGCTGAGCTGGATCTTCTGGTCCTTGGTATCAGTCGTAGTTGCGGAAGTCATGATTGCAGAAAATATCTGCGCGGGGGTCCAGTTGGGGTGCTGCTGCACAATCAGCGCCACAATCCCCGCCATGTGCGGAGTCGCCATGGACGTCCCGGAAATCATGGCAAACCCGTAATCCGTTCCCGGGGTCGAGCCGCGCCACGCGGACCAAAGCGAGACGCCCGGAGCAGTGATATCCGGCTTGAGAATGTCGTTGCACGGGCGGGAGGCGGAGATAGCGGCATAGGGATTCGCCACAGGTCCAGTAGACGAGAAATACGCCATGGCTGGCGCAGCCAGGTCCATGTTCTTCTCGAAGTCCACGGAGAGGGTGACGGTGGGGGATGACGTGGAGCGCGCGTACGTGCGGAGCGAATCCGCAGCGAGAAACGGGAGGTAAATGACTGGGAGGCGCTCGTCGTACGGCGTGAAGGGCTCCAGCGCGTGGGGGATGTTCAACAGGAGAATGCCTCTCGCGCCCTTAATCATAAGATCCGCCACCTTGTCAGTAGTCGGCACGCCGCCGTACGAGCACAGCACGTATTTGTTCACGACCTTGGCCTGGTCGAGAGAGTACGGCAGGCACTGGTCGGATTTCCCAATGGTGATGCCGGACCGCCGAGCCGCTATGCCTTCGATGATGCCGGCTGTGTCGGGCTCGCTGCCGCCGGCTCCGAACCCGGAGCCCTGCACCTCGGTGCCGTCGCCGAGGGTGATGGTGGTGAGGTACCGGCGGCCTATGGTGCTGGTGGGAGGAGAAGCGGGAGGGGGTTGGACAGGCAGGCAGGGTGTGAGACACGAGCAATTGTGGTGGGGAAATTGGCAAGACACTGGAGAGAGCGGGCAGGGGCGGCGTGGTGGAATGCTGTGATGCGCATGGCTGTGCAGTGCTGCGCCGCGCTGTGCACTGGAATGCGGTGTAGTGGGGTGGGTGTGCCCCTGGCAGGGCTCTGCTCCTCACCTGGCGCCAACGGTGAGGTAGAAGGGCGAGAAGTTGGAGAGGGTGCGGTACATGTAGCTGCCGGTCTGGGGCGGGCCCGAGTTGCCCGCTGCGTACACCACTGCCACGTTCGCCTGGAGAGACAGGGAGGGAAGGACGAGTGGGAGGGGGGAGGAGGAGGGGAGAGAAGGGGGGGAGGGGGGTGGAGGGGAAGAGATGGGAGGGAGAAGGGGTAACGGGACGATGAGCTGGAGTTGATGGTACGTGCGAGGACAGAGGGAGAGTGAGGCTGCGGGGTTCGGATTTGAATGCACTCGCATGTCTTCCATAAACACACACGCACGCGCGTACATAGACGCGGTTCCCAATCACCAGGCTGGCATAGACGTACGGCACATAGCCGAGGTACGGTAACTCATCGCCAATGATTAGATGAAATGAGACTGATGAGACTAGGTCCCACGCACCAGGTTCGCGAAGAGGTATGGCATGTCGTCAAAGTATGAGGCGTCGGGGTCCAGCCCGCCGAGCGACAGGCTGAGCACGTCCACGCCGTCCGCCACGGCGAAGTTCACGGCGGCCTCCACGTCCGCCCACGCCGCCGTCATGCCGCCCGAGTTGGAGTTGGACCAGAACACCTTGTACGCCGCGATGCGCGCGCGCGGCGCCATGCCCGACGCCATGCCCACCAGCTGGTCGCGCGTCGTGAACACGTCCACGTCGCTGTTGCCCGCCGCCGCGCTGAAGGGGGAAGGGGAAGGGGAAGGGGAGGGGGAAGGGGAGTGTGAGGGGGAAGGAAAAGTGCCCGTCGCTCGAAGACGGTCATCGTCATCCCCTTCACTCACAGCGCCCCCCCCAAGTCATTCACGCCGCACCGTCTAAACCCGCCTCGCAACAACCTTCCTCCCCTCTCCTCCGCTCCCCTCCCCTCCTCCCTCCCCCGGCCCATTCCCCCCTGCCCGTGACTTACGCCGCACACCACGAGCCGTGGCCGTCCGCGTCGCGCGCGGAGCCCCAGTCGTACGTGAGGTCCTCCACGTCGCCGGTCATCTCGCGGAAGCCCAGGCTGAGGTGCCGCGCGCCGATGAGCTTGTTGTTGCACGCGGGGAAGTCGTCGGTGGTCTGGCACGTGCCGCGCCACGACGCGGGGGGAGGGCCGAACGGGATAGAGGTCTGCAGGGGGTAGAGGGGAAGGGGAAGGGGAAAGGGGAAGATGGAAGGGAGAAGGGGAGCGCGCGCCGATGAGCGTGTTGTTGCACGTGGCGGACTTGCTGGTGGTCCGGCACGCGCCGCGCCGCGAGAGGGGACGCGCGTCCTACGGCCCGGAGTTTTGGAGGGGAGGGGGATGGAGGGTGACCGGCGGGAGGGGGAAGCGCCGGGGGACGGAGGTAGGGGGAGTGAGAAGACATTTTCGTGTGCAGGGAGGAAGAGAAGAGTAAGGGGAGGGGGGCGGCGAGGGGGGGGGGGGGGAGTATGACGTCGCCAGTGCCTCGCCCCGCTCGCGTCTCCGGCTGCCGCGCGCTACCCTATGGCTACCTTCAACCTCCCTAACACGCCCACTCATGAACTATCCGAATCCTCCTATCCCCTCTCTCTCCTCTCTCTCCCTCTCCCTCCTCTCCGCCTCGTCTCAGCGTCGCAAGGAACGCACATTATCGCTGAACGACGGGTGTTCGGGCCAGATGCCGGTGTCCACGATCCCCACCACCACGTCCTCGCCTGCCTTGCTCTGCCCGCCGTTCACGGCCCACAGGCTGTCCGGCAGCTTCAAGAACTCCGACGAGTCGGTCGTCAGCTTGTGCATCGTGTACGACGGGAACACGTCAGCAACGTCCGGATGCCTCTTAAGTTGCTCCACTTTATCGGGGGAGAGTTTCGCCGCGAATCCGTTGCTCACGAACTTATAACTGTAGAGTACGTTCTTCATAGGGAGATTAATGTCCTTGGCGACTTTTTCCTGCATCCGCCCGAGCATCTTGGCGAACGCCTTCGCAGGGCCCTTGCGGAGATTGATCCGCGGAAGCCGCTGGCGCAGGCGCTGCCCCGCCGCCGCGGCCCATTGCGCCGCGCGAGTGCGCGGAGCCGTGGCCTCGTACCCCGAGATTCCGCCCGTGTACCCCGCGAGGGGGGGGACTCCGCGCATGCGCACAATGTAGACCTTGTTCCCCTCGGACGGCGCAGTTGTGGCGGTCGATGGCCCCGCTTCTGAGGTTATAGGTTGACCGGCGGCAGAAGAGGAGGAGGAATCTTGCGGAGCGGCGGGATCTGTTGCGCGTTGGGACATACAGGTGGGGCGGGGAAACGAGGATGAGGGGAAGGGACACGGAGGGGGAAGCGGGGGGGCGGAAAACGGGGGGAACGGGGAAGGGTGCGATGGGGGAGATGGGGACAGATGGGGGATGAGAGGGCGGGGATTGAGGAGACAAGTAAGCCAGCGACTAGAGGAGTTTCTTGAGCTTAGTGAGTGCCGTCAGCGATGCATCAAGACAATGCGGGCCCAAGCAGACTAGGAAAGAAGGCAAAAATAGTCTACACTGATCGAGCCGCGAAGCGACGCGAGGCTGCTGGGGCGGTCGCGCTGGTTCGAGCTTAGCAAGAAACATAAGATTCGTAGCAGAAGGGCGGTCAAACAGGCGGCGGTTGACGGCATTGCCACAGCAGCGAGGCGGCCTTAAGCGGAACGGGAAAACAGTGCGCAGATAGCAGCGGGGCGGGGTGCAGCAGGTATCCCGACGAACCGCGGAGAAGGGACCTAGCTGGGCCGAATCGGGCGGGAAACAATGGCAACCGGCAAAAGGTTATGGACGCAAACTTCGAAGCTTACCATTCTGCGCGACCGCGAGAGAGATAGCTGCTGAGAGGACTAGCGCTAGAAGCGCAAGCGCGAGCCGCCGCGTGGTACGGGCAGCCATTTCTGAGCATGCAGCAGCAGACTAAGCTTTCTGACGGTTTCGTATCTGTCGGAGTGTTGTTGCTGCTTGTGCGGCTACCATACAAAGATTGTTGTTATGGATTATGCTGCTAGCGAGGGACGAGATTCGTGTTGATGCTGCGTGAAATTCGCGGCGGCTTGTAATCTACGGAAAGGGGGACGGGCGCTGGTCTCTTGGGAACGGCGAGGCGACGCTGCTCTGCAGCTAATTCTTTTGGCTGGCGGCGCGGCGCAAAGGGCGTCGAGGAAAAGGAAGCTACCCAGGCGAAGGTGCAGCAAAGAAATGGCGAGGCCGCGGCTCGCGATGGCAAGATTAGACACTGGGGAGGGAGGTGTTGGAACAACTCAGTGCAAAAGGTTGTTGGCTGGCTGAGGCTGGCAGGGCGGGTTGTGTTGGGGCGGAGGGGAGGCTGGCTGGAGATTTTGGGTCTTGGCAGCATTGCACTGTAGTGCTGAATGCAGTGGTCTATCATGGCCAAGGACCGACAACTCTCATCACATCCCAGCGAGCAGGGCTCGGGAGAGTTGGGGGAGTCAGGTCGGGACGGGAGGGAGGGAGGGAGCACTACAGTAACTGGCTGCGGTAGGCAGACAAAACAAGCGATGATGGAGGGTGACAGGAGAAAATCAGGGTTAATATTTCGGTGTTGAAATTCCTGGCGATTAGGGCTACTAGTGTCAGTTTTGTATATCTCCAGGGTGGTAATCATCGTTGAGCTGGACTCGAATGGTATTGCTATTGCCCTTGGGATCTATGTAGACGGAGGGGTAATTTTCGAGGCTTGGTTCGTTACGGAGGGAGGTTAAGAGATTTTGCCGTTACTGTAGTTTACAAGCCAAAAGCCCAAGTAGGCACAACCGCCGATGTTTGGTTAGGGAAGGGGGTCAGCGGCACACAAATCACGACTATAGCCTCCACATGAAATACACCCTCCTAATTTCAAAATTTGTACCTCCTTTTGCTGAGGCCCCAGGGCTTGGGGAAATACTACCAACGCCAATCGCTCGTCTGTCCCAGATAAATGTTGCTGTTGGAGCCTATCAGGTCGTTGGGGGGAGTCACTGCACATTAGGAGAGCGCTATGCGTGCGTGGGTTGTCTTGTCCTGTCCACCCGAAGGAAAAGTGTACTGTAACACAAACTGATGATGTTTGCTACAGTGCAGCCCCGAGCTCACACACGACCTGACCACAGCGGTTGCTGCGGTGCACTGTAGTTTATTACCTCGGTGTAGCCAATTCTGTATCGGAAAGAATGAGCAACAGCCCTGCTTATTCTGCCGCTCACGGCGTCAAACAATCAACCAGCAAGCTGTTGCCAGAGTGCAATGTTCGGCTGAAAGTCAGACAACTGGGATGATGGGTAGGGTCAGTTGCCATGTGCAAATGTCTTCGATTGCCCGAGTTTCTGGACTGACCTCCCCCCGTTACATCTCAAGATCAGCAAATCTCAAAGCACCTGCGATAGTGTTTCCCTAACACCTGTCCCTCCGCCTCGCCAGTCTGGGTTTCAGCCGCCCGGCCTCACACCAATAATTTCAGGAGAGAATGACAGAGAACCGACCACAAGGGAGGGCGACATTGGGCTCGAGCGGAGCCAAAGCCCGAGCCTACGGCTCAGTGTCGCACTAAAATGCTGAAATTGCTCACACATTTGGAACACGACATTGAGCCGCGCTCAAGTGAAAACAGGACCCACACAGCCTTTGCAAAGCAAATGGCGACTGTGAACAGTGAGTGACGAGGTACACAGGCGACCATATCGGCGCGCGAAAAAAACACCCCCGTGTCGCCAACGCTGTATCACACCAGCCAGCTGAACCTTCGTTTCCCTATTTTTCGTTGGGTTACTACACATGTTTGGTTTCGTGTTTTTTGGTTGGTCGCGAATTTCTCATTCTCGCAACACCACACTGTAACATAACCCATGCCCAGGCTCGAGCCTGCGGCTTGTCACATCGATCTCGCACATTGCGCTCGCGGGCTGAGCGAGCATCACATCGAACAGAATGGCGCCCCGCCTAATGCACTCGCCCTCAACTGGACCGCCTCTCAGTAATGCGTGGACTACAATGCGTGACCACAAGCACCATAATGGGAATGGGACGAACTGAGGGCGCATTCCTACGGGCCGCTCGTCGCGGCAGTTTATAAAGTGCCGAAAGGTTCCTGCATATTGTACCACTCGTCAGTTTGGCGCGCCGCTTCTGTACGACTTCTGTAACGCTCGGATTGGGCTCCGCGATGTACGCAGCTTGAACGAACGAATGGGGTGAAATCTCGCGACAGCTGTGAATTGCCGCTGCTCCCAAATGTTGGGAGGAACACAGCTGGGAGTTCAGCCCTAACCCGAGCCTGGGCAGACCCGAGACTTTGCCCAACCCAACTGCCAACGCCCGGAGAAAAAAGAAAAAAAAAAAAAAAAAAAAAAAAAAAAAAAAAAAGAGGCTTCAATGGCCTTTTGTGCGTTTGATGGGCACAATCCCTAGTAGGGTACTGTTTGTTCCTGGTGTTGTCACACTGCGCTAGGGTCAGCAAATTTTGCATCTTGAGTTTTGTGTTTCCACATGTTCGACAATGGGAATTTGTGTATACAGTCAACCCTCAAATGCCATGTGAAATCGCTGAGGTTTCGTTCAGGGTCGCAAACAAAAATTACAATGCGACGAGAAGTTGGACCGAACCGCCGCGCGGCTCGAGGAATCAACACCAAAATGACGCAAGCTAACCTGCCGTAGCTCGTAAGAATGCGCCGTTACTCCACCCATTTGGACAACCAGAACTTATGCAAGACTGTGGTCCTTCGTATCTGGACATGTGGGCCTTTTCCCTAACGGGTGTGCCACAGCCACCCTCCATCACAAATCACGGCCATGCAAGAATGAAATCAAGTTCCACCCAGCTAGACATGCCATGATATCATGGAATTGTTTTTGTTTCGACCATATGCCTCCCTCCATCCAGCTCTACTCCCCTTGCCTCATTTCTTCATGGTTCCAATAAGCTCTTGGGTATGACGTACAATCAAATGCAGCACACCATTATGGTCTGAAAGAAGGGACCTTATTATATATTACACATGCAAATAGACAAGGAGACTAATTGCTCCCTTCCCTTGCCAGTAGGCTTCAACAAGCATGCCCAGAGAAGACACATGCACACGAGTCTTGTATGCTACAGGGATGCGGGCTGCACGGCAATCACCGAGCGCACGGAGTGCCCGATTTCATCATTCCAAGTCAGACTGCCAAAAGAGAAGCCTGAAGAAGACACATTCGTAACCTTCAGCTCCACGATAAAGACCTGAGTCTTGCCAGGCTCGATCACAAACGAAGGCGGATAAAGCGTCACACTCACGCCTTGAGGGGGCACCACTACTCCCGTGTAATTAGACGCAGTCCCAGCCACGTTCACCACCCATCGTGTAACATTCACTGTGCCTCGGAGCCTTGAAACTGCAATCTGAGGCCGGTTGAGATTGTACGCCGGGATGGCCTTGAGCTTCGTTCTGCTCGATACAAGAAGCCGTGTCTTTGAGAGGCTCTGCCCGGCGAGAAAATTCAGAACATGGGCAGCGGCAGCAGGGTAAGTCAAGCCCGGATCAAGAAGCTTCTCTGGGTTCACATGCCCCTGGCCCATGTCAAAGGGGGTGGCAGCTGCTCCAGATGACGTGGTGATGGGATTCCCAAGGTTGTTGGTCGTGCTGGCGGTGGTCATGATTGCAGACATAACTTGGGCGGCAGTCCATGTGGGGTTCCGCTGCATCAGGAGAGCAGAGATCCCGGCCACATGAGGCGTGGCCATGGAGGTGCCGGAAATCATGTCAAACTGAGCAGTCGCCTTCATGGCGAGAGATGCGCCCCGCCACGCTCCCCAGAGAGACACACCTGGTGCAATGACGTCCGGCTTCAAGATGTCGTTCGTGGGGTAGGAGGCGGCAACGGCAACAGAAGGATTGGCCACAGGCCCCGCAGAGGTGAACGAGGCGGTAACCGGAGCAACCGCAGCGGAGTTGTCGGTTACATAGGAGGAGGCCAGGCTGGCAGTGGGGGCGGTCTGGGACCTGATGAACGCGCGGATGGTGGTGGCTGCAGCAGCGTCCACATACATCACTGGCAGGCGGGAATCGTAGGGTAGGAAGTATCTTGCGCTCTCTGGTACATTTGTCACCAGTAGCGCTCTCGCCCCCCGTGCCACTGCTTCGGTTACTTTGGTGTCTATTGTTATCCCGCCGCCGTACTGGCACACGAGGATCCGTCCCGAGACTTTCGCCACGTCCAGAGACGCGCCGTAGCAGTTCTGCGCCTTGAAGTTTGTAACGGATGACAGCTTAGCGAGGAGGGAATCCACAATGCCCACGCCCTGAGTGTTCACAGTCCCGCCTCCCAGCCCCTCTAGCGTGAGCAGGGTGCCGTCCGCCAGAGTGAGGTTCGTGAGGTAGCGGCGGGAGACGGTGGAAGCGCCGATAGTGAGGTAGAAGGGCGAGAAGTTGGAAATGGTGCGGTAGATGGACGAGCTGTAGGGCGGTGCGCCCTCGTTGCCGGATGCGTAGACCACCACTGTGCCCGCCTGGGGCGAGGAGAAAGAAGAGGGGAGAGGAGAGTAGAGGGGCACAGGTGAGCGAGAATGAAGGAAGGCCTTCGTTGCCTGATGCGTACCAGACTCGATGGGGAGAGGAGAGGAGAGGAGAGGAGAGGAGAGGAGAGAAGAGGAGAGGGGAGCGGTGGGTTAGTGAATGGGGCTGCGACGGACGAGAGGCTTTAGCGCGACAGACCGAAGGAAATGGCATCTTGGATCAACACACGTTTATCCACACATTACTTGCTGTAACCATAGACAGGGGAAACCGGTAAGAGGCAAGGTTCAGTGCGGTTCAGAGCTTCGATTCAGTCCTCACCGCTTGGGCGTAGAAGTAAGGCAGGTCGCTGAAGTAGGTCGCGCTGGGGTCCAGCCCGCCCAGCGACAGGCTGATCACGTCCACGCCGTCCGCCACGGCGCGATTCACGGCCGCCTCGATGTCCGCCCACGTCGCGCTCACGCCCCCCGAGTTATAATTCGACCAAAACACCTTGTACATCGCCACGCGTGCCCGCGGAGCCATTCCGCTCGCCAGCCCCGCGGACTGCCCGCGCTCGAGCGCCACGCTCACGTTGCCGTTGCCCGCGGCGGCGCTGGCGCACCAGGTCCCGTGCCCGTCGGCGTCGCGCGCGGAGAGCCAGTCCCCGGAGAGGCTCTCGCGCCCGTAGGCCCGGCGGAAGCCGGAGACGAAGTAGCGCGCGCCGATGAGCTTCCGGTTGCAGCGGGGGAAGTCCGCGGAGGTCTGGCATGCGCCCCGCCACGTGCTGGGCGGCGCAGAGTAGGAGCCCTGGGGGAAGGAGAAGCACGGGGAAGGGGAGTGGAGGGGAGGGGAGTGGGGGAAGGGGAATGGGGAGCGGAAGGGATTGAGGGGGCCGGAGGTCGCGCTTGTGTTGAGGGGGGGAGAGAAGGCACACGAGGAGGGGGCCAATACGGAGCAAGGCGGCGGTGATGTAATCGGGTGTGATCAGGCGTGATCGCGTACATCGTCAGCAAAGGAAGGATGGTCCGGCCAGATGCCAGTATCGACGATCCCCACCACCACGCCTTCCCCCGCGCCGCTCTGCCCGCCCGCCGCCGCCCACAGCGTGCTCGGCAGTTGCAGGAACGTGGGCGTGTCGGTCGTCGCCTTGTACACGCGCCGGCTCAGTTGGACCGACAGAACTGACGGATGTTTGCGCAGCCGACGGACCTGGCCGGCTGTAAGCGTCGCGGCGAACCCGTTGGTAACGTAGCGGTAACTGATTCGGATTGCAGGAGAAATTGGGGGCGGGCGGTAGTGGGGGCGGGTGGTCGGGGGGGAAGAGCAGGGAAGAGGGGAGAGGGAAGAGAAGTGAGGCGCGCAAAGCGGGAAGAGAAGTGGGGTTAGAGAGGAATTGGTTGAGCGACTTAATGGCGGAGCCAGAGAGCCAGTGCGAGCAACTTACCGGGGTCGCAGGGCGTAACGCGCTGCGACGTGCCTGCTCGGCGTAACGCGCACTCACCTATGCACTACGGAGGAGAGCGGCAGGTTCACGTCTCGCGCGACTCGTTGCTGCTGCTGCCCGAGCCACCGCACCAGCGTCCGCACCACCTTCGACCGCACGTCGAACCGCCGCGGCCGGCGCGACCACCGGCTACCGACCGCCGCCGCCGCCGCCGCCACCGCCGCCGTTCCCTGTGCCGGCCGGACAACGTCGCCGCCAGAAGCGGCGGCGGCAGCGGTGGCAGCTGTACCGGCAGAAGCGGCGGTTTCGGCGGCCGCGGCTTGGGCGACGTTGGGAGAGGAGCCGTAGAAGGAAACTCCGTCAATGGCGAGGGTTTGCGCTGCTACAGGCGCCGCTCGGAGACGAACTACGTAGAGCGCGGTGGAGGATGAGGCGGAAGGGGTGGAGACGCGCGGTACTGTTGGTGTGGGGGGAGAGCAGGTTGAGCGGGGAGAGGGGGGAGGGGGGAGTGTGGGGGAGGGGCAGGTGGAGAGGGTTGAGAGGAATATGAGAGGTGAAATGGGAGTGAGGGAGAGGAAGAGAGGGAAGGGCGGAGCAGGAGCGGTGAAGGGAGAAAGAGTGAAACGGGAGAGAGGGGGAGAGACGAAGCGAGGGGAGAGTGGAGGGAGAACGGTGAGGGGAGAGCGAGTGAGGCGAGAGGAGGTTTAACGGGGGCCCAGGGATGCGAGGATATGCGACGAGGACGGCGAATTACTTGGCGAGTTTTTGCGATTTGGGCTTCCGCGTGGGCGAACCGATTGGTTACCCCAGAAGGAGGACGGGGAGAAGGAGGAGGAGGAGGAGGAGGAGGAGGAGGAGGAGGAGGAGGAGGAGGAGGAGGAGGAGGAGGAGGAGGAGGAGGAGGAGGAGGAGGAGGAGGAGGAGGAGGAGGAGGAGGAGGAGGAGGAGGAGGAGGAGGAGGAGGAGGAGCAGAAGGGGGAACAAGGCGCGGGGTATCGGGGGTGCGTGGAGGAAGAAAGGGAGGAGTCAAGGGGGAAAGAGAGGTGGGGGAGAGAGCGAAGGGGAATGAGGTAAGCGGAGAAGGGGAGACAAGCGAGGGAAGGAGGGGATACGCACGTTTCGAAGGAAGCCGAAACGCCGAGGAGAAGCCGAGGAGAACGGAGAATAGAAGCACGCGCAGTACGATTCGCCGGGAATGCAGAGGACGATGACTGGCCATTGTGGGACGATACAGAGATAACGCGATCGGTAGAGGGCGCCGACTGTTGTATTCTTCAGGCGTGTTGCCTATGAGATGGAAAAGCCACTCTCGATAGAGGTGGGAAATAGAAGGACCGAGATGGTCCGAACGCGTTTATCGAGTGTGACTGAATGGAGATTCGGAAAGCAGTCGCAACGACAAGTTGTCGCAATGGCGGTCGAGCAGATTCGAATAATGGGATGCTGACAGGATAGAAGGCTGATAGGAAACGTAGCGACTTTGGGGTTAAAGAGCAATCGGCTGCGGAATCCTTATGTACGCGCTTGACCTGCATAACTATCGCGGTCGCTAATTTGGTAGCTCGGTCGCCCGCTCCATTGCTTGCTGTTGGTGGGAGTTTTCAACGGCCTACCGCAGATTCAGGGAAATGAAACAAATAAAGACGGAGTGCAGCTTTCTGCAGCGATGGCTAATGTATGTCCAAATGCCGACCTCTGTGGCGGCCCTAGGTTCTAGCTTGGGACGGAGAAACGCGACAACGGGTTGGTGAGACAGGGATGCGTGTGCTGTGCAAGAGCAAGCAATTGCAAGAAGAGGCGACGAAGCTAGGCTGGTTGGAGGAATGGTCGTGGTTGAGGTGGGTGAGTGGGTTGTGTTGCTGGCGGTACGCCTCGTGCACTGGGGCAAGCAGCAGCCGATTTTTGATCGCGCGAATCGCGACACGAGGAGTGAAGGTTGGGGAGGGGGACGTGAATACAGTACATGTTGGGGCTGTGGTGGGGGAGGTGGAGGCGAGAATATTGTTTCTTCGGGCTAGGGCTTTCAAGGCTATTGGTTCCAGCAGGGGTCGGGGAAAATAGCTTGGTAGGGACGCACGAACTTGCTGGTGTCTGGTGATGAATGCGACCTCCCAACTGACAGAACCCCATGACAGAACTCGGGGGGTACTAGGTTCAAGCAAATAACTGGGGCTCGGGAATTTCATGGTACTTCAGAGGGACAAATGCTGCTGGTGTGCGGAAATGAATGCTAACTTCGGAGAAGAGACATAAATTTAACCGGGGTGTCTAGACCCGGAATTGCAATTTTACATTGTATGCAGACTGCATTGTGCGACGTGACGTGGAAACGGGGATCTCCGACCTGGTCAACTGCTGTACAAGGCGACTCCAACCAGGGCACGTCACTACGTCGATACAGTCATGGATTTCGCCAAGATCCATTTGTTTCGTGATTCGTCCATGACGCTGGGCATCACCAAGACGTGGCGAAGAAGTGGCCCTCGTTACGCGATACCTGGATACCACTAATTCCCTCGATGTAGCGGAATCGTTTTGAAACCCCCAAATTTGTCCACATCTCCCTATCGTGCATTGTTCGTCACGCGGGAATAGTCAAAAGCAGGGGTGAAGTGGTGGGGGGTTGTCTGCTCTCCAGCAGTTTGTCCCATCGTGCTGAGGTGTGAGTGTGAGGTGCTGGTTTGTTGCTTCCACCAATAAAGAGGAACCACGCACGGTGCGCCGTGCGAACCAGAGGCAAGAAGGGAAATAAACTGCTTCTGGTCGTCGAAAATCAACAGCCACCGTCGAAAATCCTCCTTGTACCCTTGAGAATTTGGTTCATGGCCACACATAACAGCGTAGGAATGTATGTCCACGAGTACAACCTGTGAATCAATCTATGAAGAATTCTAAACGGTCCCCCATTATTTCATTAGAATACTTCCACACCTGATTCATTGCTCTTTGCTATTTTATTGTTTTGGTCGTCCTTTTCCATCATACAAATGGTGGTAGACCTCTTGTACAGAAGTTGAAAGATATGCCTCTACGCCAAATATGCTACATATACATGAAATTCTTGTAGAATGAGATGTGAGATATCCAATGTCACGAAGCTTGGACATATATTTTGATTGGGAATCTGACTGCACACTACAACACTACCAAACAGAAACATGGTTGGATGTATGAAGTGTCACCCTAGGATGGATTCCACGACAATACAACTTAAAAAAAAAAAAAAAGACAGGTACACGAATATGAAGCGATCCAATTGACAACTTATACATATTAGCTGTGTACAAGTTCTAGGCTAGACTGAGGTATGCTTCTAGTGAGTACAACCAACTAATATTTGTTCTACGTTTCTACTTCTAGTTTATTATTCAGTTCTTACTTTAACATGGTATCACGCGTAGGTTAGAATCCCCCACCTACCGCTTCCGCCCGCACCCTAGCTAGCGCCCCTCATGGGCCCTGCCGTGCCTCCTAGCCCCGTCGCGCCCCTCCTGGGCCCCGTCGTTCCCCTCATGGGCCCCGTCGCGCCTCCTAGCCCCGTCGCGCCCCTCCTGGGCCCCGTCGCGCCTCCTAGCCCCGTCGCGCCCCTCTTAGGCCCTGCCGTGCCTCCTAGCCCCGTCGCGCCCCTCTTGGGCCCCGTCGCGCCTCCTCGCCCCGTCGCGCCCCTCCTGGGCCCCGTCGCGCCTCCTAGCCCCGTCGCGCCCCTCCTGGGCCCCATCGCGCCTCCTCGCCCTATCACGCCCCTCCTGGGCCCCGTCGCGCCCGCTAGGCCCCGCCACGCCCTGCCTGGCCCCGCCGCGCCCCCCTTGGCCCCGCCGCGGCCTGCCTGGCCCTGTCGCGCCTGCCTGGCCCTGCCGCGCCTTCCTGGCCCCGCCGCGCCTGCCTGGCCCTGCCGCGCCTGCTTAGCCCCACCGCGCCGGCCTGGCCCTGCCGCGCCTGCCTAGCCTCGCCGCCCCTGCCAGGCCTCGCCGCGCCTCCCTGGCCCCGCCGCGCCTGCCTGGCCCCTGCCGCGCCTGCCAGGCCCCGCCGTGCCTGCCTGGCCTCGCCGCGACTGCCTGGCCCCGCCGCACCTGCCTAGCCCCGCCGCGCCTGCCTAGCCCCGCCGCGCCTGCCTGGCCCCTGCCGCGCCTGCCAGGCTCCGCCGCGCCTGCCTGGCCTCGCCGCGCCTGCCTGGCCCCACCGCGCCTGCCTGGCCCCGCCGCACCTGCCTGGCCCCGCCACGCCTGCCTGGCCCCGCCGCGCCTCTCTGGCCCCGCCGAGCCTGCCTGGCCCCGCCGCGCCTGCCTGGCCCTGCCGCGCCTGCCTGGCCCCGCCGCGTCTCCCTGGCATCTCCCACTAGTCGCCCGGCCCCTCTTCGTGCCTGCTCGGCCTGCCGTGTCACCTCGGGCGCCGTCTACTCTGCTCGCCAGCGCTGGGGCGCCTCGCGGCCGTCGTGCTGGAGAGTGCCGCCGCCGTGTCCCTGCGTCGCTGTGTCCCTGCGGAGTTGTGGAGCTGTGCCGCTGACCCTGCACGATGGCCGACTTCATGCTCCGACTGGACGCCGAGGGCCATGCGGTTGACTTCGCCGCCTGGCTCTCCGATCTCCGCCGCCACCTTACAGGTCAGCGCCAAGATGGCCACTCTTTGGTTGTCCATGTCGATGGCTTGCTCCCCCGCCCCCCCGCACCTGCTCCCCTCCCTGCTGACCCCTCCTCTGATGACCGTGAGACCTTCTCTACTGCTGTGCTTGCCCGTGCGGTCTGGGACTCCCGCGATGCAGTCGCTCAGGTTGCTATTAGCCACGCCCTCCCTATGTTTGAGCGCTCGCGCTTTGCTACTATTGAGACGACCAAAGCCTACTTAGACGCCGTTATTTGTGAGAGTACGACTCCGTTATACCACTTGGCCTTTTTCATATTTCATCTTCATTTCATTCCTCTTTTTATCTCATCTCCTTTTGCCTCATATTCCCCATTTTCCATTATCCTTTGGTTTCTTCCTTTATTATTATTATATCACCGACCAGGCATGGAATGTTCTAGACACGCTATCTAGCGTAATCCTGCCGTAATCCCTTAAAGCCAATAGCCTCGCGTGGCTATACGCAGGGTGATTCTATCTTCTAGAAGGGTCTATTCCCTTAGGATAAGATAAACCTGGTTACCTGATGTACTCTGGAAGTATAAAAGCGCCTTGTACCGATCGATAGTGCAACCTTTCCTCGACACATTCGATCCTGTGACACTTGGTAATCAGAGCTTTTCTCACTCGACCGCGCTCAGCTAAGCAGCAGCAGCGGGGATCCTGCCTCGAAAAACCGCCGGGGGCGACCAATTCGACGCCGATTCTGGTAAGCACCAGCTCCGCGATTTTCGAATACCCCCTCCGTGCGTGTTTTGAACAGGATGGCAACCTTCGACAACGCCGAGGTTACCCAGCAGCTCTTCGCGCGCATCGCAGCCCTTCAGGAGGAAATGCGAGCGGATCGCGAAGCGTGGCGAAACCAGTTCGAGCGAGTAACTCGACTCGCCGGAGCGCAGCACGAGACGACAACGGCGACGACGCAGCAGTCGCAGCAGTTTCTCGAGGCTCCGAAACCGCGCCCACCTGAGCCGTTCGATCCGAGCGATCGAAACTCCGACGCCCGCAGATGGATCGCCGGGATGGAGATCTACTTCGCAGCCGTCGGATGGAGCTCGCCAGTCTGGGACGGTCAACGTGTACGACTCGCGGCGACACTAATGCGAGGACCGGCACTCGAGTGGATTGGCGGCAACAGTACTTTCATCCACGGTGAAGCCACGTGGCAGCAGTTCCGCACCGACCTGCTGAAGAGATTCGAGCCGATAAATTCGAGTTTTCTTGCCCGCGAAAAAATTCATCGTCATCGACAGTTCGGGAGTGTAGCACAGTACACGCAGCAGATGGAAGAATTTTATAACCGCATTCCCGACCTCACCGAAGGGGAAAAAGTACAATCGTACCTCGCCGGGCTGAAGACCGAAGTCAAACGACAGGTGGCAGCGTCAAACTACGCGAGCTACAGTGACGTCGTTTCGGCCGCGGAGCGCTTCGACATGGTCAACGCCGGAACACGACGGACGCACGTCGGCAGTACGCGACAGGGCGACCGCTCGGCTCACACCACGTTCGCCGACCCGATGGAAGTCGACAGATTCGAGGGGCGGCCACGTCCGAAAAACACCAACTACACGTGTGATTTTTGCGGGGTGCCGGGCCACCGAATCTTCGACTGCAACAAAATGAAGGCCGCACGCGCAGAGTATCGGGCACGCAACAGTGGCGGAAATCTTTCGGCCAATCAGAAGACAAAAAACGGGAGTCGCCAGTGATTGCGGATCTAGCTGGCGAAAATAAAAAGATCCGAAAGCGGCCGCGGGATTCCGGAAAAATCAACTTCGACGAAGCTGATTCGACGCGAGAAGGAGGAAATGATGGGGGAGAATCTCCACCCCACGACCAGTCTTCGCCAGGGAAATTCGCCGAGGAAAAATACGACTCCGCGAAAAAAGACTCTGCCGAGACAGGGAAACTCCTTGAAGACCCAAGAAATTATAAGAATTCGTTAAAGCTATCCTATAAAGATGCTTTAATGAAAACTTATGATTTTCGAGGAGCTAGAGCCTTGGAGAAAATTCGGGAGGGACTCCAAAAGAAGCAGACAGCTGTGGAGATTATACCGGTACCGGACAACTTGGGGACCAAATTAAGGAGTGTGGAAAGAAGCCGACCTTTCCACGGAGTCAACGTCCTCTCCCGACACCAGCCCAC